AAGCAAAAGGAATGTTGGAGAGAGAGGTACTGCAGAGAGATTCTTACTCTCTCGTAACAGAGTTAGCCCAAGGCCATCACTCCAAGCACATTAAAACTTGGTTAGATTTACATTTGCCTTCATCCACCTTAAATACGGTAAATGTTCCCCACAAAAATACTTAGGCTAGAATAAATCACATACACTTAGCTTTCTGAATAAGTGAAGGTTTTACTCACAGAGTTTCAGGAGTTACAGCAAACAAGTCTCTATCCATTGGCAGTAAAATAAGGAAGAAGAAGAAAAGGTTCCAAATGACTTAAAAAGAAATAACTTTGTCTCATTACAAAAGAATCATGCAGTCTTTGCATTAGTAAGGATATAGGCTGTAAAATCTTCTTTTTGGAAATTCAGCTCACTTGGTTTTTCTTCGGCTGGGAGCCATTCCACATGGCTCAAGAAAACTGAGGGGAGCAAAGGTCACTGGGAGCCTCTTAACCCTTTCATGCACACAAGTGTGAGTCAGTAGTTGCATATAACAACAGGGAAAAGTTTGATGGGTGGGTGGCTACTTGAAGTTGATGACATGGGTCATCATTTGGTTTCTCATTTTTTCAATCCATCCAGTTCTCTATATTTCCACACCAGTGTGTGATTATCACTTTTTTCTTAAGTCTTTATAAAAATTCACCAGCATTTTAGTGTAATTTTCTGCTAGTGTATGTATAGTTGCCTAATATACATAGTCTTGCAAAGGAATCCTTCTTAATACAATTCATTTCGGTATGTCATTTTCACCAACAGAGACATTTTTACAAATACTTTAGCCTAGCACATGCATATTTGTATACATTATACGATAGGAGAATTGCATTGCAAAATTCAAAGAAATACAAATTTCAAAGGATGGCTGTGTTCCAGTTCATATACCATTTCAGAAAGTGAAAGTTAGGTAGCTTCATCTTTAAATGTGAAGTGATTCAAATGTGCCCCTGTCTCCCATCCCTATCAATAACACAGCAATTTGCAATTTTCAAAAGAAAAAAAAACATAAAGAAGTGACTGACACTTCACTGAGAACAAGGTAGATAAAAACTGAATAAAACCTGCATGCTGTTGCTGTGGCAGGTAGTTGCTCTCTAGATTGCCTCCTCCTTCATACAAACAATTCCCTGGATATCAAGAGAAAGGTTTTGACTAACTTCCCTTTGATATACCAGATGGTTTCCTGCTGTCCCAAGGAGGCAGGATTAGATCTAATGGACTTAAATTAAAAAAGGGTATATTTTAGCTAAACATAGGAAACACTTCTTGATTGCAAAGAGCAACTCAATGGTGAAACCTAGAGCAGGAGTAGGGAACCTTGAGGGCCACATTCCCTTCTGGAGAGGGCCACATGCCCCCAGGGAGTGAGGCCAGAGGCAACACATGTCAGAGCAATGAATGTAGTACTAATTTTTTTAGGTAGGCTAGTTTCAACACATGCCCCTCTGGATCACTCAAGGACACAGTCCATTAGGGCAAAAACACTCAAGGAGGTTGTGAAGCAGGGTTAGTATGTGGTGTGGCCTGGGGAAAAGATTGTGGCCTAGAGAGAGTTCTGAGGGCCAGATAGAGGATTGAAGGACCACACTGAGCTCCTGGACCTGAGGTTCTCCTTTATCCCAGTGGGTGGGTTTTGCCTCACTGCAAGTTTTCAAGCAGAAGCTGGGCAGACATCTATTGGGGATGATCTAGCTTGGAACTCTCTGCATTGAACAAGGCATGGATTAGACGACCTCTATGGCACAATACAAGTCTAAGATTCTATGAAATGTGGTATAGCCCTGACATAGGTTTCCAGCTGCAAAGACTGGTACCATCTAAGTCACTCGCTGTTTTCAGCCAGTTTTTGCCTAACCAGCTAAAAGACTGGTCACATTCTTGACCTTTTGAAATGTGAAAAAGAAAAGAAAGAAAGAAAAAAGACAGGGTCTTTTTACTATAAGCTCTGGTTAAGATGAAATTTTCATAATGGACCTGCTGTTTTCTGCCGGCGATCAAACCACAAGCTAAACATTCTCCGGGCAAAGCTGAAAAAATACAGGAGGTCACTTGAAGGTTTGAGGCCCAAAAGTATGGAAACGTATACCAAAAATGCTGGACCTCTGTTTGGCTCGAGGACCATGTTCTTAACTGATTTGCTAAAGTAGACCGATCTTTTTAACATTTACACTGGCAGAAATCCAGCACTGTACTCAAATATGGGTTTGCAAAAATGTGCTTCTGTGCCTTCCACAGCTGTGGGACAGGCAGAAACTTCCCAGGCAAAGCTTCCTGCCTTGTGGAATCATAGTAGTGCTGGAAGGGAACCCGAGTGCCATCTAGTCCAACCCCCTGCAATGCAGGAATCTCAATTAAAGCATACCTGACAGATGGCAATCCAACCTCTGCTTAAAAACCTCCAGTGAATGAATCCACCACCTCCCTAAGCAGTCTCTTCCTCTGTTGAGCAACTCTTACTGTCAGAAAGTTCTTCCAGATGTATAGGCGGAATCTCCTTACTTGTAACTTGAAGCTGTTGGTTCACATCTTAGCCTCCGGGACCAAGCAAAAACAAACTTGCTCCATTTTGCATGTGACATCCCTTTAGATGTTTGGAGATGGCTATCATATCTTCTCTCAGTCTCCTTCTGATCAGGCTAAACAGACCCAACTCACTCAACCTTCCCTCATATGGCTTGGTTTCCAGACCCTTGATCATCTTGCTCACCTTCCTTTGCACACCTTTCAGCTTGTCAATATCCTTCTTAAATTGTGGTGCCTAGAATTGGACACAGTATTCCAGGTGTGCTCTGATAAAGGCAGAATATAGCAGCATTATTACTTCCCTTGATCGGGACACTATACTTCTGTTGAATAGCATTAGTTTTCATTGCTGCTGCATTACACTGTTGACTCATGTTAAGCTTGTCGTCTATTAAGACCCCTAGATCCTTTTCACATGTACTACTGCCAACCAAGCTGTTCCCCATCTTATATTTGTGCAGCTGGTTCTTCCCACCAAAGTGTAGAACCTTACATTTGTCCTTATTGAAATTCATTTTGTTTGTATGGGCCCAGTTCTCCAATCCGTTAAGGTCATCTTGAATCTTGAGTCTGTCTTCTGAGATATGGCTTCCCTTCCCAGTTTGGTGTCACCTGCAAATTTGATGAGCGTTCCCTCAATACCTTCATTTGCTTATCAAGATGCTTACCGTATTTATCGCCCCATAGGGCACACCTAGGTTGTTTTTTTTGGGGGGGGGAAATAATTTTTTTTCTTTAAGCTTCCCCCGACCCAAGCTTCCCCCGACCCCAGCCCCCAGAACAGGCTGCTATCTGCAAGCCTAGGGAGCTTCCTGAAGCCTGGAGAGCGAGAGGGGTCGGTGCACACCAACCCCTCTCGCTCTCCAGGCTTCAGCGAAAGCCTGCATTCACCCCATAGGACACACACACATTTCCCCTTCATTTTTGGAGGGGAAAAAGTGCGTCCTATAGGGCGAAAAATACGGTAACAACAAGGGCCCAGGACAAAACCCTGCAGCACCCCACTCATCACGTTTTTCAGGATGATGAGGCACTTTTTGGTTTCGGTCAGCCAACCAGCTACAAATTCTCTTAACAATTACCTCACCCAGTGCACATGTTACCAGCTTCTCCTCAAGAATATCACGGGGGACATAAGTCTAACTGAAATCAAGATATGCTACATCCATAGCATTCCCCTAATCCACCAAGCTTGTAACTTTATCAAAAAGAAAGAAAGAAACAAGATTCATTTTTGAGAAACTCATGCTGGGTCTTAGTAATCACAGCATCCTTTTCTAAGTGTTTTCTAAGTTAATTATTTGTTCTAGGACCTTCCCTGGTACCAACATCTAGCTGTGCAGTCCATAGTTAACTGGGTCTCCCCCCCTTTGAAGACGGGGGCAACATTTGCTCACCTCCAGCTCAGAGGGACCTCACCCATTCTCCAAGAATTCTCAAAAATTATAGACAGAGGCTCTGAGATTACACCCAAAAGCTCCTTTAGTACCCTTGAGTACAGCTCATCAGGCCGTAGAGAGCTGAATTCGTTTAAAACAGCTAGGTATTCCCTTATCAGCTCTTCATAGAATCATAGAATCATAGAATCATAGAGTTGGAAGAGACCACAAGGGCCATCGAGTCCAACCCCCTGCCAAGCAGGAAACACCATCAGAGCACTCCTGACATATGGTTGCCAAGCCTCTGCTTAAAGACCTCCAAAGAAGGAGACTCCACCACACTCCTTGGCAGCAAATTCCACTGTCGAACAGCTCTTACTGTCAGGAAGTTCTTCCTAATGTTTAGGTGGAATCTTCTTTCTTGTAGTTTGGATCCATTGCTCCGTGTCCGCTTCTCTGGAGCAGCAGAAAACAACCTTTCTCCCTCCTCTATGTGACATCCTTTTATATATTTGAACATGGCTATCATATCACCCCTTAACCTCCTCTTCTCCAGGCTAAACATGCCCAGCTCCCTTAGCCGTTCCTCATAAGGCATCGTTTCCAGGCCTTTGACCATTTTGGTTGCCCTCCTCTGGACACGTTCCAGTTTGTCAGTGTCCTTCTTGAACTGTGGTGCCCAGAACTGGACACAGTACTCCAGGTGAGGTCTGACCAGAGCAGAATACAGTGGCACTATTGCTTCCCTTGATCTAGATGCTATACTCCTATTGATGCAGCCCAGAATTGCATTGGCTTTTTTAGCTGCCGCGTCACACTGTTGGCTCATGTCAAGTTTGTGGTCAACCAAGACTCCTAGATCCTTTTCACATGTACTGCTCTCAAGCCAGGTGTCCCCCATCTTGTATTTGTGCCTCTCATTTTTTTTGCCCAAGTGCAATACTTTACATTTCTCCCTGTTAAAATTCATCTTGTTTGTTTTGGCCCAGTTATCTAATCTGTCAAGGTCGTTTTGAAGTGTGATCCTGTCCTCTGGGGTGTTAGCCACCCCTCCCAGTTTGGTGTCATCAGCTCTTTTCCTATCTTGGGCTGCAGCTCCCTCCTTGCACCGCTTATTCTGTTATCAATAGGTTGAGCACTGTTTTCCTTTTGGGTGCCTTAAAAACATATAGCAGCCTTACAAAAAAAAATGGAGGGGGGGGGAGAGGAAGAAAGTGACAGTGTTTGTTGCCACTTCAATCTCTAGGACCAGCCACAAGATGAAAACGTCTGTTTCACAGCTGCAGCGAGACACTGTTTAAAATTGCAGAGGCAGAAATGGTCCTCTGTTAAACAGAAATTATGCATTTTTTTGGCCTACTTTCTCTAACCTTTGGAGACATGCCCAGCTTCTGACAGGCTCTGATGATGTCTCAGTGGAGGAAATCCTACACTGAAGGAAAGCATGTTGCCCTCTTCACTTAACTTTTCATTCATTTTATATTTTTCATTCTATGTTTATATACAATCCTCCATTTGGCAAACGTATGTTAGGCTGTGTCATCTGGAAAAAAAAAAGACCTGAACAATCCCATCCTCCTGCAACGGAAAGCTCAGGACATCTTAGCGGTTGCGGATGACAATTCCACAGACACTTTTCTACGGGTAAGTTTGCACTTTCAGGTTAATTGCTGAGGAGCAAAGAAGGAAGAATTCTGGCCCTACCATTAGACAGGGTCAGGTAGGGATGGGAGGTGTCAATTTCGGTTTCTCTCAGTTTACATTTCTGCAGGCTTATGTTCAGGTCTGCACATTCCCACAAATGCCCTGCTTTTGAGTTGCTGTAGCTCAAGGGTGCCCTTCTTCAGAGGGCAGTAATGCAGTAGCCCTGGGAAAGCATTGCAGAACCACCAATCAAGCAGAATGATGTGTGAACGGTCCCATATAAATCCAGTATAAACCCACCACTAATGCAGCTATTATATCAGTGTATTGTATTGCAGGATGCACTCCCACAGGAAAGAAAGCACCAGTCTGGAGGGTCCCAAGATCTGCAGAAGCTTTGTCGTGGCTTCATGGTGAGTCTGTGCAGCAAATGCAACAGGTCCAAGTAGTCCAGTGGAAAGGCTGCTGAAGGATCAGTCCAGCCCCCACCAAACTGCCTCTCCAACTTAATCCCCACTGCCTTGTCAGCACCTCTAGAGTCAGGAGACAATCTGGCCCCAAAACACACCTAAGCATCGTTTGGAATTGGGCAATTCCCTTCCCACGCATGCATATCCAACAAAGCCTGCAGCCTTTTAATTGTGCATGGCAGGGGGAAGAAACCACGAGGCAGAGCAAATTTGAATCATCCTTGTGACAGACGTCACTGGGCTCATCCTGTGGATGAGGAGTCATCATTTGGGTGTGCCTTTCTGAAGACAGGCATGGAGTTCTTGGGGCTTAGAAGCATTAGACAGCCAAACACCCTTCCCAGAACAAGGGCAGACACCCAAAACAACTTTAAGACAGATGCTGCTCCATTATTCTGACAAGGGCAGTGGGTGGGGATGCCCATTTTCCCAGCTCCAAAGGACTGCCAAAGTGCTGTAGCAAAAGGAGTTGGCTTGCTCATCACTGTCAGCTTGTTTGCAAAGGAGGCTTAGGAAGCAGTTGATAAGCCTGGTTGCACGGAAAACAGCTGTCTTGTCTTTAAAGTAAAACCCAGCAGCACTTACACAGGGCTCGATTTCAAAAGTTTGAAGTGTGAACATTCTTCCAGCGATCCTCACAACAGCCCTGTAAGGCAAGCTAGTCCTCAAAGATGCCTCCTTAACCTAGTGTCAAAATGAACTTTGTGACATACAGTGGTACCTTGGGTTAAGTACTTAATTCGTTCCGGAGGTCCGTTCTTAACCTGAAACTGTTCTTAACCTGAAGCACCACTTTAGCTAATGGGGCCTCCTGCTGCTGCCGCGCTGCCGGAGCACAATTTCTGTTCTCATCCTGAAGCAAAGTTCTTAATCTGAAGCACTATTTCTGGGTTAGCAGAGTCTGTAACCTGAAGCGTATGTAACCTGAAGCGTATGTAACCTGAGGTACTACTGTATATTTATTTGTTAAAGCACTTGATCCCCCCCCCCGTGTTTTGACCATTTCATTGTCTGCTGTCTTTACAGCCTGTGTCTTTCTTTTAAATGAATCTTTTATACAGCATAAAAAATTAAAAAGAAAATAAGCTGTATATATTAAACAAACACACAAACAAACAAACACACAAATGGTGTTTGCCATTAGCTCTCATGGCTTTAAAAGTGGGGTTGGATCATTTCATGGAGGTTTAGGTCCCTAGTCACTTTGTGCTCCACCCTGGCCCTTTTGTCCATCCCTCTGCAACCAAGGGTCTGGCTGTGCATAAAGACTTTGGGAGCTTCTTCATGAACCATTTATTGATCCTTCATCCCAATTTGTTTGTGAGGAGATTGGATGGCGTTGTGTCAATCACATGTCATCCCACACTTTTTTTTTTGTTATTGCAAAAAGTCAGATAATTGTTCCATTGAGCTAAGCTCTGTTCCATCTAGGTAAGGTCTCTGATAAGTTATTGATAAGAGCAGGAGGATCTGTGATTCTGGGCGCTCACAGACAACCTGTTTATGGAGCATTCATCCTGATTTGTCTGCAGGATGATGCTGAGTGAAAGCAAGTGCTATTTCACACTTACTTTTCAGTGCATTCCCCCTCACAATCCTTATTGCAAAACGGCAAGGCTTTTGGGGAATTGGGTTTGTGGCGCAAGATCTCCCAAGCAACCATAACTGTGCATCCTGAAATTATATTATAATATACTTTCAAAATATTTTATAGTGGTTTATAGTGCGTATTTTTATGATTTGTAGCTTATTCATTCATATAAAAATATTCTATACCACTGTTCAGAAAAAAAATCAAGTGGTTTACAACAATAGGGCATCAACTGATGCCCTGAATGAATTCTATGGTTTTTAAAGAAATGTTCCAAACTGCCTTGAAGGGGTTTATTTTCTGAGAGACAGGTAATAAAATATCAGAGTACAAGCAAACTAATAAATAAATCTCAAATATTTCACAGGGCTGTTACAAAAATAAACATGGGTGAGTGCAGGGAGAGAGAAAAAGGGCAATATATGCCACCTAGGTCCCCATAAAAAGAAACACAGGAAAGTTCTGTTGATAAATAAGTAAAGAAATATGCTAAGTGTCCCCCAGATGCTATATCTGAAGTAACTGAAGGTTTTGGACAGTCTTCAAAGGCTGTCCCACACAAATCCTGTTGCAGTAATCTAATCTGCATTTTATCACAGCATGGATGACTGTCTGTGGCCAGATCATGGTTATCCATGAAGGACTGCAGCTGGCGCCCCAACCAATATCTTTTACATACTAGGAAAACCAAGATAACAAAATATGCCTTCTTATGGAAAATACTTTCTTCCCCACAACAAAGGAGAAACTGTAACTGGATTAATTTGCTGCAGTGATTTAGAAAGTCTTTTAGAAGGAACATGCATTTCTCCAATCTGTGACAAATGCACGTGATCCTAACCCCAAAGTTGATTATCTTTATGTGTGCTGTCCACTTCTCCAGTAATGCTTGCTTGTCTGATGTTAGGTCTGCTTGCCATAGAATGGGCGTGAGCTGTGTTGGACTAGCAAGCTCAAATCATCATAACAAGAAAACGTCACATAGGACATGCACAGAGCATCAGTAGCCCTGGGAAAAGTACAGTTCCCAGTGCTCCTGGGTCACTGCCATAGCAGCAGGAGCTGGAGGGGGAAATGGGGACACAGACCTCCCATCCTTTCTCATGCCACTGACAGGGGAACAACCAGTTAAGCAAGTATAAGGGACAAGGTTTATGGGTTGGTGGGAAGAAGGAGTTATGTTTTTCTCCAGCTTGAATGAAAATCCAAGCTGGCTGAAGTACTTGCAGGATGCAGTCTTCTCCTGGTATTTAAGTGAGCATTATGAGTCAAAGAGGTTCACATCAGAGATAGTAACAGAACCCATGTCAATTTGATTTTGTCCTCATTTTGCAGTTTCAGATACTTGCAAAATGGTTTCTAGATGGGAGTTTGGTGGCTGGAGTCTGGAAAGTGTTTCCCTTGTGGGAAAACAGAACAGCTAATGAAAGATGGGTTTTCAAGATGTAAGCAATTCAGTTCCCCCCTTTTATTTTTATAAATTGTTCAGTAAATATCAAAAAGGAGAGGGACCATAAAAGAAGCGGTGGCTTCAAACTTGTGAGATTTAATGAAAAGCCCAAGTCACAAATGAAGCCCCATCACATCCACACACAGCCAAATGCCAAATGATGAAGAAACCGTTTTGCGGTTGCAGGACATCTTAGGTCAATGTAACTGCTCCATTCAGTTCATTCCTGAGTCATAAGGTAAAGGTAAAGGTACCCCTGCCCGTATGGGCCAGTCTTGCCAGACTCTAGGGTTGTGCGCTCATCTCACTCTATAGGCCGGGAGCCAGTGCTGTCCGCAGACACTTCCGGGTCACGTGGCCAGCGTGACATCGCTGCTCTGGCAAGCCAGCGCAGCACACGGAACACCGTTTACCTTCCCGCTAGTAAGCGGTCCCTATTTATCTACTTGCACCCGAAGGTGCTTTCGAACTGCTAGGTTGGCAGGCGCTGGGACCGAACGACAGGAGCGCACCCCGCCGCAGGGATTCGAACCGCTGACCTTTCGATCGGCAAGTCCTAGGTGCTGAGGCTTTAACCCACAGCGCCACCTGCGTCCCACTCCTGAGTCATAATCTGAGCCAATTCTGACCCCTCCCCAAATAATTAGCCACAGCACTGCATTGTTATTTTTTACCTCTCTTTTATTATTTATTTACTTACATACCTCTTAGTGGCCAAAATGGCATCTGAATGGTTTACAGGCCATTCAACAACAAACCAATGTGGACGTCCATCATTATAATTAAAATACATCATAAACCAATTTTACCAAAACATTAAAGTAGACACCCACAATTAAAATGTACAATGGAACAAGTCCATTGAAACAGAACAGTAATAAAAAGAAAGCACCCACCCACCACCCATACTTTTCCGTGTATAAGACTAGTTTTTTTTATACTAAAAAATAATGTTAAAAGGGGGGTAGTCTTATATATGGGGGCAAACTCCCCCCATTTTCTTAATTTTGAGTCACCCCAAATAGGGGGTGTCTTATACACAGGGGGGGGCGTTATACACAGAAAAATACAATGTGTGTGTGTGTGTATAAGCATGAGGTTCAAGTCAGGAGATCAGAGGAATGCTTGTCTACAAACAGGGGTGTCTTCAAGAGCAGGTGGAATGCCAATACTGATGGGACCTCTCATAATTCAGTAGGGAGAGCATCCCACATCATTGGTGCCACCAATGAAAAAGTTCAACTCTGCATTACCACAAACCAATGATAATCAGGCCATGGCAAGTGACTTGGTTCCATTTGTTGATCTTACCAGGCAATGGAGGGGAAGGCAAGTCTTTTGGGTAACTTGATCCAGAGTTGTTTAGGGCTTCATATGCATGGTTGCTAGGCACCAACTTCTTACCAAGCTCCACCTAGTCACTGTTATGATGTCATAGTATACAAAGTGGGCAGTGCCTTCTACTCAACAATGAATGAAGGGGGACTTGATGTAGTACTTACTATTCATGGTGGCATGATTAAAAGGAAAAATATATATATGAAAAAAACTCTCTAGCATTCAAGTTACAGCCAGTATAGGCAATTATGAATATTTCCTGAAGAATGTTACGTGACCCCTTATTAGCGCTTGGTTGTCTAGCAAAAGGAATCAGAAAGGAAATTACATGAGTAGTTTTCGAATTAGCAGCCTGGAATGAACACACACTAAAACTTCTCTCGGCAGAGCAAATTGAGGAGGAACGTTTCGTGTGCTTTTAAGAAACTTAAGATTCCCCAAACTCCTCATCAGCTCTGACTTGCTCATTAAGGGAAGACAAATGATTCACTTTGGGAGATTGTTTGAAACCAGTTGACTTGGGCTGACTTAATTCTTCTGGGCAGTTTAGAGTGAGGTCATGCA